TTTGCAGCCCTTCACCGGCAATGGTGACGTCTCCATATCAGTGAAATATTCTGGAGAGGTATAAACAGTAAACAGTATACAATCAATCAATCAGTCATTTATATTAGGTAACGTAGGTAGATCGTTCCTTCTCAAATTAGCTCAAAACGTGCCATAACAATGCGATTGCCCCCATGATAAAAGGTCCTTTTCCTCATATTGAGTTTTTTCATGCTTTTAATAGGTTAAGAATAAAACTCGTTAAAATGAGCAATGTTACACACAAATTAAAGTTTCCAAATCTTACCTAAATGATCCAATTGTTCTATACTCATTCCATTTATATTTGGTAACGTAGGTAGATCGTTCCTTTTCAAATTATCTGAAAGCATTCCGTAACAATAAGACTGTACTCGTGATAAAAAGCATTGTTAGCAATTTGTATACATTTTGATTTTTTATGAATTGTAATAGGTTAAGAATAAAACACGTTACAATAAGCAACGTTACGCGTTAACTTTCGTAATTTTACATAAATGATCCATTTTTTCCATACTCATTCCATTTATATTAGGTAACGTAGGTAGATTGTCCCTTATCAAATTATCTGAAAACATACCATAGCAATGTGATTGCCTCTATCAAAAGAGGTCCTGACGGCAATTTCTACATATTTGGAGTTGTTCATAGGTCTTAAGGTACCCAGTTCTTAGAGGTTGTCAAAGCTAACTTTTTATTGCCCTACGTCAACTTTATCGTTTTTTCCTAACATATATTAGTGGCACTTTAATAGGTAAATAATGACGTCTTGTACTTTCGACGTCGAGGGTCAACATTTTACAACGTCGAACATCAAAAATTTTCAGAATGAACTAGGTTTTGAATTTGAATCATACATTGTAACGTTACTATGGTAATGAATGTATATACGAGGGGTTATCAAAAAGTTCGTGGACTGAGGCTATAAAATTAGTACTATATAGTCTGTGCTTTCAAAATTTATATGGAACATAAAACAACACAAAATAGAGAAATGTAGAAAATTTTAGCCTGATACGTTCATTATTTGCCAAATTATTATAAAATGAAAACGTCATTATATGATCACCCGGCGCTGTCGTCGTTTATTTTCATGACGTCCGATAACGTCATTGTTTTTTCACTGTCATCTTCTTCTACCTCATACACTTTTTGGATGAGATTCCCTGGAGCTGAGAAAGGACTTAAACCTGCCTTGCTTTTATGACTTTAAAATGTCATTAACAGTGGCCTTCAATGAATATGATATTCCAGATGGATTAATACATTGGGAGAGATCCGCGCTTGATTGTGCCGGCATATTTTGCTTTTGGGAGTTCAATATCTACAACACATGATCAACGTCATTTTTGACGGGATTGATTTTTCACACCTTGACTGCAAATCGACATTAATTGTGTATTCCTTTACTCTCTGAATCTATTTTGACATTAAAAGACAAGTACTCTGAATGCATATTATTTCTCTGTAACATATTTTAGGTCTATACAATTTTTTTCAGGGGCAAAACTTTGTATTATGTTGGAAACGGAAACCCCTCCCCCCTTTTGATGTCATTTTCAAGGCCTCATTTGTTTAGACATTCCGTGTAAAATTTACGATAAAACATAGAATTTCCAGAATGAAGAGAAAATTTCATATTTTATAGAACAATTGTGTCCCGACACATACCTGAATTAACGGGACTTTTGGATGTCAAATAATCATATCAAATGAGTTTTTCTTAGTTACACATAGGTCGAAAAAACGTCGTTTTCGAGGTTGCGCCGCTTGGACATACCATTGCTTACAAAAACATTACTAATTTATTAAAAAATAAAATTATTGATTTGTGGTTTATTCTTTGGATAGAAAAGACGATGCTTACTAGATATTTCAAAATTCATAGATGTACCTTGAGCGGTTTTAATTTTATGGCGCTAGTCCACGAACTTTTTGATAACCCCTCGTAATTGAGTAAATGTATTTCGAGAAAAATATTTTACTCCTTAAATTGCCTCTTTCAATAATTTTTAAAATACAAATAAATTAATTTAATAATATTCAGTAATATCCATAAATTTTACGAGTCTATTGTTTGTTTCACATTCCCTCGTGATTGAATGTCAAGAAGACTTTAAAAGCAAACAACTTCAGTTCAATATCGATTTATCTATCATATCTAAAATAGTTACTTCGTGTAAAAAATCGTTTTTAAAACCTGTGAAATTCATTCGAAAAAGAAAGATTTCATTTCAAACATAAATCTCGAGTAGTCAAGATATTTGGGGGTTGTTGTTGTTGTTGTTGTTGTTGTTTTTAATTCAGTGTAAACAATAAATTTTTCCAAATGTGAAAGTTTCAAAATTCTTTCGGGATAACAATAAACAAGATCCTATCGGAAAGTGAAATTTTGTGCGATTGAATTTTATTTTCTACATATAAAAACAGAAAATTTGTTAAATATAATTGTTTAAAGTACACACTATACAACAATTTTAGGAGGTATTTGAAACATTGCATATTAAAAAATATTTCATAAAATCTTTTCAAACCAAAACTCAGAAGGTTTAATGTCTGTATGTTTTAACAAAACTATTTCTTTTAATTCCAAGGATACACTTCTTTCACAAACAGCAATGGACATTTTTATGTAGTAACTTCTTAAGTAAGACGATTGATAAGTTATCAACAAATGGATGGGTTATAATTCACGAGCATTAGCGATTTTTTACTCAATAATCACAAGACGCTTTAATGAAATAATAATTATGGAGAGTAATAGAAAAAATGGTAGCAATAAACAAACAATTTTTTTTTAATCTTACCAAGCTTGTCCATATAAGCAACATTTAGACCATTTATTCCGCCGAGAACATGACCATCCACATCTTCTGAATCACGTTTAAGTTTATCCTGAGCTAAAATTAAATTTTTGCTTCAAGATTTTGCTGAGCTAAATAAACAAGATTTTTTTTCATTTATTCACTTTGCAGTGGGAAGGGCGATATTTACTCTCGAGGAATCCTATTCACTTTCTCAGTAATCATGTTCATCACATTTACCAAGATATTATTGTCCATATAAGCAACATTTAGACAATTCCGCCAAGAACGACCTTTTGTTGACGTTGATCGATTACATATTTACCCTTGAGGAAAATATGAAATTTCTCTCTGACATTTTTAATACAATTATCACAACAACATAATCATGATACAATAGATGAGTAAATAAACAAGATTTTTTTTCTGATTAAAAGTTCATCACATTTGATATTATTATCAAAAAAAATCGATATTTAGCAATAAACAAGACAAACAAAATCTTACCAAGTTTGTCCATATAAGCAACATTTAGACCATTTATTCCGCCGAGAACATGACCATCCACATCTTCTGAATCGCGTTTAAGTTCAAGCTCTTGTTGAGCTAAAAACAAGAATAATATTAGTCTTGATGATTTAATGAACGCATGAACAATCACTTTTTTAAATGTTTTCGAGAAGAATTCTAGTGTCAGGAGTAAAACTCAAATCGTCAATGGGGTTATTGTACTAGAGGATGGGTGTTTATTTTCAATCCCATTTTTTGCAATTCATTATTTTACGTTGTTATCACATTTCGCTTTACTTGGGGACTAGAACTTCAATATTTACTCTCAAGAAATATGAGATTTTATTCTCGCTGACACTTATGTGACTAGAATAATCACAAGACGTATTTTATAAATTATTCATTATTGTTAAAAAATCGAAGAAAATTGGGAGCAATAAACCAACATAATTTTGTAATCTTACCAAGCTTGTCCATATAAGCAACATTTAGACCATTTATTCCGCCAAGAACATGACCATCCACATCTTCTGAATCACGTTTAAGTTGATCCTTTTGCTGAGCTAAAAAACAGAAATTTTTGCACTAAGAATGGGGGATGTGTCTTCATTCCTATTTATTTCTGTCCATTACATTTTTCGTTATTAGCTCTATTCACTTTGCAGTGGGAGAGGGTATTGATATTTACTCTCGAGGAAAGAGCATGAAATAGTATTCTCTCTGGAACTTTTTAGACAAAAGTAATCATGTTCAAAGTACAATCATCAAATGATTTAGAGACAAAACTGGCAGCAATAAACAAACAAAATCTTACCAAGCAATAAACCAACCAAATTTTTGTAATCTTACCAAGCCTGTCCATATAAGCAACATTTAGACCATTTATTCCGCCAAGAACATGACCATCCACATCTTCTGAATCACGTTGATCCTTTTGCTGAGCTTAAATCAAAACAATGAGTCTTGATAATTTTAAGAACGCTAGATCAAACACTTTCCAAGATGAAAGGAACAGAGTAGACTTTTAGTGTGAAGAGTAGAAGTGAAATAAATTCTGGGGTTTTTGCTCTGTAAAATTGGGCCGTATTGCTGATAATCATTATGATGAATAAAAGATAAAAAAGTAGTTATAAAAAACATAAATTTGAGCTAAAAAAACCAATTAAGAAATTTTGCACTAACTTCACATTTCGCTTTGCAGATGGAATGCGATATTTACTCTCCAGGAATAACACATTTTATTCTCCCTGTCACTTGTCTGACAGAAATTATCACAAGACGCTTTAATAAAAATAATAATTATGGAGAGTAATAGAAAAAATGGTAGCAATAAACAAACAAAATTTTGTAGTTTTACCAAGCTTGTCCATATAAGCAACATTTAGACCATTTATTCCGCCGAGAACATGACCATTCACATCTTCTGAATCACGTTTACGTTCAAGCTCTTGCTGAGCTAAAAATAAATTTTTTTCTACTAAGAAGAGGGTTGTATTTTCATTCCGTTTCATATAAGTCGATTACATTTTTCGTTATTATCACAATATCGCTTTGCAGGGGCAGGGGACATATTGGTATTTACTCTCGAGGAGAATATGATATCGTATTCTCTGACACTCGTTTGTCAAGAATAATTAAAAAGCGTGCTCAATAGAATAATCTTAATCGTAATGAAAGAAAAAACTGGTAGTAATAAACAAACACATGTTATCGAGCTTGTCCATATAAACAACATTTAGACCATTTATTTCGTCGAGAACATTACCATCGACGTCTTCTGAATTTCGTTTAAGTTCAAGCTTTTGCTGAGCTAAAAAACAAGACCTTTTGCACTAAGAATGGGGGATGGGTGTATTTCATTCATATCAGTCCATTACATTTTTCGTTTTTAGCATAATTCGCTTTACAAGGGGAGGGGGAAATTGATATCTACTCTCGAGGAATGTATAAAATTGTATTTTTCTCTGAAATTTGTTAGACAAGGATAATCACAAGACATGTTCAAAGGAATAACCATCATCATGATTAAAAGAAAAAAAAAACTTGCAGCAATAAACAAACACCATTTACCAAGCTTGTCCATATAAGCAACATTTAGACCATTTATTCCGCCGAGAACATGATCGTCCACGACTTCTGAATTACGTTTAGGTTCAAGATTTTGCTGAGCTAAATAAACAAGATTTTTTTTCATTAATAGGAGGAAGCGTATTTTCGATCCTATTCATCTCAGTTCATCACATTTGATATTATTATCACAATTCGCTTTTGTTGAGGAGGGGAGGGGGTATCGATATTTACCCTTGAGGAAAATATGAAATTGTTTTCTCTCTGACATTTTTAAGATTAGAATTATCACAAGACATAATCAATACAATAATGGTTATTCTGATTAAAAGAAAAAAAAATTGGTAGCAATAAACAAACAAAATCTTACCAAGTTTGTCCATATAAGCAACATTTAGACCATTTATTCCGCCGAGAACATGACCATCCACATCTTCTGAATCGCGTTTAAGTTCAAGCTCTTGTTGAGCTAAAAACAAGAATAATATTAGTCTTGATGATTTAATGAACGCATGAACAATCACTTTTTTAAATGTTTTCGAGAAGAATTCTAGTGTCAGGAGTAAAACTCAAATCGTCAATGGGGTTATTGTACTAGAGGATGGGTGTTTATTTTCAATCCCATTTTTTGCAATTCATTATTTTACGTTGTTATCACATTTCGCTTTACTTGGGGACTAGAACTTCAATATTTACTCTCAAGAAATATGAGATTTTATTCTCGCTGACACTTATGTGACTAGAATAATCACAAGACGTATTTTATAAATTATTCATTATTGTTAAAAAATCGAAGAAAATTGGGAGCAATAAACCAACATAATTTTGTAATCTTACCAAGCTTGTCCATATAAGCAACATTTAGACCATTTATTCCGCCAAGAACATGACCATCCACATCTTCTGAATCACGTTTAAGTTGATCCTTTTGCTGAGCTAAAAAACAGAAATTTTTGCACTAAGAATGGGGGATGTGTCTTCATTCCTATTTATTTCTGTCCATTACATTTTTCGTTATTAGCTCTATTCACTTTGCAGTGGGAGAGGGTATTGATATTTACTCTCGAGGAAAGAGCATGAAATAGTATTCTCTCTGGAACTTTTTAGACAAAAGTAATCATGTTCAAAGTACAATCATCAAATGATTTAGAGACAAAACTGGCAGCAATAAACAAACAAAATCTTACCAAGCAATAAACCAACCAAATTTTTGTAATCTTACCAAGCCTGTCCATATAAGCAACATTTAGACCATTTATTCCGCCAAGAACATGACCATCCACATCTTCTGAATCACGTTGATCCTTTTGCTGAGCTTAAATCAAAACAATGAGTCTTGATAATTTTAAGAACGCTAGATCAAACACTTTCCAAGATGAAAGGAACAGAGTAGACTTTTAGTGTGAAGAGTAGAAGTGAAATAAATTCTGGGGTTTTTGCTCTGTAAAATTGGGCCGTATTGCTGATAATCATTATGATGAATAAAAGATAAAAAAGTAGTTATAAAAAACATAAATTTGAGCTAAAAAAACCAATTAAGAAATTTTGCACTAACTTCACATTTCGCTTTGCAGATGGAATGCGATATTTACTCTCCAGGAATAACACATTTTATTCTCCCTGTCACTTGTCTGACAGAAATTATCACAAGACGCTTTAATGAAATAATAATTATGGAGAGTAATAGAAAAAATGGTAGCAATAAACAAACAAAATTTTGTAGTCTTACCAAGCTTGTCCATATAAGCAACATTTAGACCATTTATTCCGCCGAGAACATGACCATTCACATCTTCTGAATCACGTTTAAGTTCAAGCTCTTGCTGAGCTAAAAATAAAATTTTTTCTACTAAGAAGAGGGTTGTATTTTCATTCCGTTTCATATAAGTCGATTACATTTTTCGTTATTATCACAATATCGCTTTGCAGGGGCAGGGGACATATTGGTATTTACTCTCGAGGAGAATATGATATCGTATTCTCTGACACTCGTTTGTCAAGAATAATTAAAAAACGTGCTCAATAGAATAATCTTAATCGTAATGAAAGAAAAAACTGGTAGTAATAAACAAACACATGTTATCGAGCTTGTCCATATAAACAACATTTAGACCATTTATTTCGTCGAGAACATTACCATCGACGTCTTCTGAATTTCGTTTAAGTTCAAGCTTTTGCTGAGCTAAAAAACAAGACCTTGTGCACTAAGAATGGGGGATGGGTGTGTTTCATTCATATCAGTCCATTACATTTTTCGTTTTTAGCATAATTCGCTTTACAAGGGGAGGGGGAAATTGATATCTACTCTCGAGGAATGCATAAAATTGTATTTTTCTCTGAAATTTGTTAGACAAGGATAATCACAAGACATGTTCAAAGGAATAACCATCATCATGATTAAAAGAAAAAAAAATTGCAGCAATAAACAAACACCATTTACCAAGCTTGTCCATATAAGCAACATTTAGACCATTTATTCCGCCGAGAACATGATCGTCCACGTCTTCTGAATTACGTTTAGGTTCAAGATTTTGCTGAGCTAAATAAACAAGATTTTTTTCATTAATAGGAGGAAGCGTATTTTCGATCCTATTCATCTCAGTTCATCACATTTGATATTATTATCACAATTCGCTTTTGTTGAGGAGGGGAGGGGGTATCGATATTTACCCTTGAGGAAAATATGAAATTGTTTTCTCTCTGACATTTTTAAGATTAGAATTATCACAAGACACGATCAATACAATAATGGTTATCCTGATTAAAAGAAAAAAAAATTGGTAGCAATAAACAAACAAAATCTTACCAAGTTTGTCCATATAAGCAACATTTAGACCATTTATTCCGCCGGGAACATGACCATCCACATCTTCTGAATCACGTTTAAGTTCAAGCTTTTGTTGAGCTAAAAAACAAAAACAAATTTCTAGGAGTGGGGGGGGGGCATAGTTTAATTCCAATTTATCTTAGTTCATCACTTTTTATCACAATTAGCTTTCCTGGAAGAGGGGATTTCGATATTTACTCTTAAGGAGAATATATATGACATTCGATTCTGTGTTATTTCTGTCTTAGTCTATACTATCGGATTGATTCTGCATTTCGTAAGAAAACGACAATTTCTCCTTAAACTGCACTTCAGTAATATAAGGAAGTTGAAATTTCCTGATAAGGTAAAGAGAATGTTTCACCTATTACGATAAAGTCTGAGAGAGATTTGGCCTGACACAATAATATTTCTATGGTGGTTATCACACATTGCGCTTTGCTGGGGGATTTCGATATTAACATTTATCATTTTATTCTCTCTATCACTTGTATGACTAGAGTAATCCAAAACGTATTTAAATAAATAATCATTATGGCAATTTATAGAAAAAAATGGTTGCAAGAAACAAACACAATTTACCAAGCTTGTCCATATAAACAACATTTAGACCATTTATTCCGCCGAGAACATGACCATCCACATCTTCTGAATCACGTTTATTTTCCAACTTTTGCTGAGCTAAAACCAAAATAATGTCTGGATTTTTTAATGTACGATTTGTAAATATTGAACATAAGGTATAACTATAATATATTATACTTTTTTTACCTGTAGCTAGTGCGAGTATAATGCTCACAGCTGTGAAACATAAAGAATTCATTTCTTCGTCTCTGAAATAAATAAGATATTCCTTTTTTTCAACTTAAAATAAAAAACAATCTCAATTTGACAAATATTCTTATTTTTTAAAGATTATTTCTTCGTGTATTAATTCAATGCTAACAAACAGCTGTACAAAAAGACAATATTGAAGTATTTTTGTGTAATATTTACCGCATTACCAAAACGCACAAAAATTATTTGAGAATTTAAACTATTGTTCTTAACTTTTTGCATGCGGCCAGGAGTTTAATCAACGGAGATGTCTAAATGTAGTACAATTTCCAAGAAATATATTGGAAACTCTTTCATAAAACTTCTTAAACAACATGAAAATTGTTCATGTATGGGTTCCTATACACAATAATGTAGTTATAAAATGAATAATCACAATAAAGGACTATTTAGTTATAATGTTTGTAAGGTATGATAAACATAAACCAGTCTTGCAAAGAAGACTTATTTTGGACATGAGAATAAACCACTTTTAAACAATATTAAATATGTTTTAAAATATACCACTTTTAGATAAAGTTACCATTTTAGAACAGATTTAGAAGGGATTCGATAAAAAGTTTTTTTCTCTATCGTTTATCAGTCAAAAACTTTCCTTTTTGTGTTATAAAAATTTTTCTTATGATGATTTTAACAAATAAAAATAAAAAATAAATCATATATTCAAACACATAAAAATAAACGACATTTTTAAAAAATTAAAGAAAAAAGAGAGTTTGGATATCCTAATATTTTCAGTCACATTATTTTTTTTAATATGGTAATAACATCCACTAAACCCTTTCTGATTTCATATTATTTTCATTATTTCATATTTTTATTATTTTCAAAAAAAAGTTTTTTATCTTTTGAAATGTAAGTAAGCATCACTTAATTGGCAACAGTAATTTTTAAATGTTTAATGTATAGGAAAAGTGCATGTCCAAATGTACATGTGCCCTGGCCGTACGCAGAATATAAATTGTAAATTTAATACAATTGATACTATATATTATTACAATTATTTTATTTTACTCGAATTTTTTATTGATTCGTTAAGTTTTTGAATACAATGAAAATTAGTAGTTCCTGTTAAATGTGATCAACGTGTCAACTTATTTAGTATTGTGAATAAAAGATAAGAATTTTATTTTTTTAAGTTCATGAGAAACTTAGGTACAACAATTCAATATGTAATTAATATTCTCATAAATATTAGTATTGAAATTGATTTATAGATTTGAAATAATACCTATATTATCACGCTAAATTCACAATAGCGCACAAAAATTTGATTTAAAAAAAAAAAAAGAAAAGTTACCAGAGATGGATGGAGACTAATTCTATAAATTTTATCCAAATTCTCCTGCTCATGAATTCTCAATTTCCTAATTTATATAACCAATCACATGAGAATTGGCATGTGGTCAGTACATTGCTTTATTTCCGCCTTAGATGTACATGTACTTTGGATCAACCATCGTATTTAGCAATAAGATTATCATTAACCTTGAAAAGATGTCCAACGTTTCAATGAATGACCTTCCTGTCGTGCCTCTGCTTTTAACTCGATTTTTTTTTACTAATAAGCGTATTAACGTATTTATTTCTAATAGATTTACCAAGCAACAACAGATTTATTACCACTTATAAGTGTAAATTTGAAAGCAAAATTTTAAAAAATCAAATAAAAGTATCAGAATCTAAATATTTCTTATCGCTAATGCATGCATTTTGTTATTAATAAAATTTAATTTATTTTTCACTCACAGTATGTAGTGTTTGATGCTAAACTCATTTCTTTTTTACCATTTATAAATCATTCTACATGCAATACTTCGAGTTTAAATTTGCCTGTTTCAGTAAAAAAGGTAATCCTCATTGAAAATACCTAAAACAATGACGTTTTAATAAGGAGCAGAGAATAGCGATATGTGTTTGTTCTGCTGTGGAAAAATAATAAATAAACCCTGAAAAAAGGAGGAAATCAAAAAAAATTGACATTGTATATGTAAAAATTATATTGTAAAATATTTTTGTATACAGGTAAATATGCGTATTGATTGTTAAGATTATTTTATTAGTTGTAGAGACCGTAGAATTTGAAGTTGTAAGATTTATGCAGAACAAATTATAAAAGGAAATGAGATATGAAGTACGATGATTTGATCACCTTTGCAGACCCTGTGAAAGTAGATCTAAGCGATAAGTAAAACAAATCAAAGAAAATCATGCCACTGGCAAACTCAATGTCAAGTAGAATAGATAAGGTTTTAAAAAATGGGCACGAGACCAGGCTGTATACAAACGTAAAAGGAGTGTATTTTTTGAGATTCTCTTTATAATTTGTTTCAACGTAATCATGCTGTCAAAAATGCTCCATGGTGATAGATATGGTATTTGTAGAATTTATTTACATGATATATGCTCAATCAATTGAAATGGAATTTCACAGAAATGTACAGATATCACCATGTTAGAATATTACGTACGAGGATGGACTAAAATTGCATTTACATATTATGAAGACTGATATTGTCTCAATACTTTTCGAATACATTCTTTTTATACCAAACAAAAGCAAACAAATTAATAGATAATTTTTTTTGATTAATTAATAAAAAAAAAATTTAATGATTAAAAAAATCAGCAAACAAAATATCAAACCTTATTGCAAAGGAGTATAATTACTTATGTTTTTTTAATGTTAATGCTGACGAATTGCCAAAGTCCTAGGTCATTTATTAATTTGTTATCCAAAATCTTCTATTCAAATATTTTTTCCGTAAAAACCTTTCCTTGACATGTAATTCTTTCAAATTTTGACGTCATGTAGTTTCAAAGATAAACTTGATGACCCGTATATTTCACTATATATATATAAACATTTCCTCGATAACACAAGGAAATGAAAGCGAAGACAAAGGAAAAGACATGGCTTTCTCTATAATTGTATTTGCCACTTTATTTTGCCATATATGGGCAATGAATCGAGCTTCTACATCATTCTCGGTGCCAGTTATAGAAACGCAGACAGTAAGGGTTTTCGTGTTTAAAGCGATTTATTACAAAACAATTACGATAATGAAAAAATATGTTAATTAACATGGTTTATCAACATTTTAATTTTACAGTCGGACCAGTACTCTTGTTATGATTACAGTCTGGATCATGTTGAACTAGAACATTTGAGTAAGACAATGGTTTTGAAATAGTATGTGTACAAAACATTAAACTTGACATTATTTTACAAATAAAATATTTAATCAAAAACGACTTGTTTTGTAGAGAGCATTCGTGTTGATGTTGACAGAAGTAAAGTACACCATGTTACATTTTCATTCTGTGAAAATCCGCTGACAAATTCCTCTGTTTGGTAATTATTGATATTGTTCATATTTCTTATAGAGTTAGGAATATTTTTTACTCATGTTATTTGGTTTTTTCATCCATCCGCTTTTTAAAACACTATAGAACAGCTGTCAAGGGTATAATTTCTGAAAATATTTAAGTATTGGATAAGAATTGAGTGAATTTTAAGAAAACATGATAATTCTTTTATGACTTTGTTTTTGCTTTCTTGACCATCTTGTTTAAAAATTTCTTGAAGGGATTTATCTTTTTAACATTTAATATCGGCATATTCTTTAAAGGAAACAGAACTGATGTTAAATTTTCTTAAATAGAATCTCTAATATTATCAATTACAATTTGCTTATTCATTTCATACTAAAATATAATAAACGCGTGATTAGAAACTAAATTTATTTAATTTAAAAAAATTGAAAATGTTTGATGTATATACAATTTTGCACTTTAATAAAGTAAAACATCCTTAATATTTACAAAAAGAAAACAAAAGTTTTTTGCAATGTAAGGAATTTAGAAATTAAGAGCAGAAATGTATTGGGGCAAATCCAATACACCAGTAGTGTCAGTTCGTATTCAGTAAAAAGTGCTTATAGCGGATGTTAAACTTTACAAATGAAAATCAAAACTTTGGCACCTAAAGTAAGGTCTTCCCACAAAATTATACATTTGTGAAATATGAAAGTCCTTGAACCATCTGCTCAAAAGTTATGGCTAAGATTAACGTTTTTCAAAAGTAGGTCAAACGCCAAGGTCGATCTCAAAAGGGCAAAGTTATCGAATCGAAAGTATTGTCACAAGAATTTCATACATGAAGTACGAGGGCCCTAGCTTTACCTGTTCAAAAGTCTTGGCCAGAGTTATTGTTTTTAAAAAGAAAGTCAAACTCCTACGTAAAGGTCGAAGTTTCAAAGTTGTTGGTATCCAATGGAAGGTCTTGACATAAGGATTATGAATATGAAGTACAGAATGAACTCCGTAGCACCAACTTTCAAAAGTTATGGTACATGTAAGATAAAAGTTGTGTAAAATTTTAACAAAACTGGGTCAAACTCCAAGGTCAGGGTCAAAAGTCAAACTTGATCTTACCCAGAGAGAGCTCTTATCAAAAGGAATAGACTTGTGAAATGTGATCCATAGCCTCAATCAATCAAAAGTAATGGAAAAAGTGATTTATGCTTAATATAGATGTTGAAAATTCTGAGCATATTTTGAATCATTAATATAATTTAATATTATAAAATATTGAATGTTAACATTGAATAAAATACGTGTGTCTGAAAGTGATTTGAGTAATATTTAAAACAACCCAAAATTTCCTAAATAAGCATGAGATGTATTAGCAATTTGACAAATGTATACATTTACTTCTTGGACAAAGAAAAGTTTTAAAACATTTTCCCCATTTTCTTTTATTTTTTAAGCTGCTGATTTCTTTTCTATAGAAATGATTCAGCAATAAAAAAAATTTAATGTTAAAGTCGAAGATAATGAAGTGTTCGCTCTCAAAATATCAATAAACTGTACAAATGTGTGGGGACTGTTGGAAATTCCAAAGGTAGGTACCCCCTATTGACGGATCACACCCACCGTGAGTTATTGTATTGACCAGTTGGACGGAATGGTATAATATAGAGTAACATTGATGAAAAATAGAAGTCTACTTTTTTCCATTTTTCTTAAGCATGTTAAGTTGCAATAGAAAAGTATGTAAAATATATATTATACCATTCTAAAAAAAACTTTACAGGACCTGTGGTCATTTGCAAGGCCATGTGTGTGATGGATATGCTGTAAACGTTGCTGGATGGAATTCGAAAACTTTAGATACAGGGCATTTTGAATTTCCAAGTGGTAAGATGTTAATTTATATATATATTTCTTTTTACTTTTTTCTCAAATAAGTGCAATTAATATTCTTGTAACAATTCAGATTACTTTGTTGTATTAAAGACTCTAACATACTGTATTCAAGCAATCCTCTATAGATAACAAATAAAAGTGTAGCTTCTGAAAAACATTTTGTTTAATGTTTATTCAGTTATCATTCAAAGTTAGCAGTCTACGTCCTGTTCAATTAAGTGGAAGTAGTAATAATAGGAGTAGTAGTCTTTTGATTGGTGCATACGACAAATTTCTGCGAAATTAGAAAAAAAAATCTAAATTTTTGTTTAAAAAATTTATTATCCAATGCTTCAAAAATTCTCTATTTACTATTAAAGAATTACAAGCTGCGCGTTTATGTACAATTTGAAGCAGACGTCTGGGAAAGTATTGGATCGAAATTCTTTTCAAAATATATTTCAATTTATTTTTTTTTTCTTTGACGTTCGAGTTTTATGATTGAAAATGACAATATTTGCGAAGTATTAGAAACAATTTCAATCTACCTAGGCTTTTCTCATACACAAAGTCTTCATTGTTCATCCAGAAAACAAATTTTAGTTTCTGAATACATAGAAATGATTGCAGAACAAAATGTTATTCAGAAGCTTTTAAAAGAAATGTCTTTTGGGGGGCTATTTGATTTTGAAAGGCAAGGGGAGCTTTCATAGTTTGAAAAAAATAAACTCTCCTTGAAATATGAATGTTTTGTTCCTCCAATGGCAAGATAATATCCAATCTGACATTGACTTGTTGGGCTCGCCTAATGAAATACATATTTGATAATCAAGTACAAACATAAAATCAGTTACTCGGTGAAATAATTCACACTTTTCTTTACATGCGAAAGAATGTCATTCGAAATACTTTAAGGAGTATATTGATTTGATTATTAGTGTTTCGGACGGCAAAAAAAAAATAAATAAATAAAAATAAAGTCAAATTCAATTAATACAAGTGTGACGCACATCTTATTTTATTTATAGCATTTTAGACTTTCAGAATGTTATTGTTTATAAGCTTATCTTATAAAAAGAAGTTTTGGAGGTATATATAGTCTTTTGTTCTCTGATTTTCCGCAAAAACTTTAACCTTGTCCATAACTTTAAACTGGGAGGGACTATGGCTTCATATTTCACAGGTTTCTTCCTTGTAAAAAGACCTTTCTTTGGGTACCACCAAATTTGACCTTTGACGTTCACCTTTGAGTTTGACACACTTTATACACCAACATACAAAAACTTTTATTTTGGCCATAACTTGGGAACAGTTGGTGCTAGGACTTTTGTCCTTCACATATGTACATGTATATTCATTTTGGACAAGACTCTTTCATTGGATAACACCAACTTCGACCTTTTTACCTTGACCTTGGAGATTGATTAACTTTTAAAAAACTTTAACATTGGCCATAACTTTTGATCAGTAAAGGCTATGGCTTTCATACTTTACATTTTTAATCCATGTGAGAAGTCCTTTCATTGGATATCAACAACTTTGACCCTTTGACGTTGACTTGTAGTTTGACCTCTTTTTTAAAAAAAGTTAACCTTGGTCATAAAATTTTGAACAGTAAATGCTAGGGCTTTTATACTTTATATATGTAATCCTTGTGTTAAGACCTTTCATTGGTAACCAACAACTTTGTTCCTTTGACCTTGATTTTTAGTTTGACCTACTTTTAAAAAACTTTAACTTGGCACTAATTTTTTGGACTAGCGCTTTCATATTTCCTATATGTAATCTTTGTGCTTTCTCTAGAAACCAACAACCTTGACCCTTTGACCTTGACCTCGGAGTTTAACTTACCTTAAAAAAAAGTTAACCTTGGCCATAACTTTTGAAAAGTGGTGCTACGGTTTTATATTTCACATTTGTATTTCTTGTGAGAAGGCCTTACTTTCTGAATAAACATGTTTTATTTGCATTTGAGAAAATTTATACTTTGCTATGTTGCCATATGCAAACGGGAACGGGGGGGGGGGGGGGGGGCATCAGTAATTCACAAACACATCGTGTTTTTTCTGCGATGTTCGTTGTTTTTTTTCTGCGGACGTCTGAGTAAACATATCATTGGATTGAAATCCTTCTTTATAGCTTCATTTTAATCAACCTTATCTATTCTCTCTCCGCGGCGTTTATGATCAATCCTAAAGACCAGAAATAGTATTTTTAGACTATTCTTTCCATTTCGAAAGATTATCCCGGTTTCTGAATTGTATAATTTACCATTCTATTTTTGTGTAGATTGCCAATCTGGCAACAAATCTGGATATGTTTGTCTGCATTACAAAATTGATGCAACTTTCAACAGTAGAAACTGATTAAAAATTTCTTGAGGAAATAGCTGGCGTGAAATATCGTCACTTGGGTTGAACTTTCAAAGTTTGCACGTTATACGAAGTCATAGGGCTTGCAGAAATGTAATTTTTTAACCTTCCAAAATACAGTAAACAAATATTTATTCGCGTACGAAAAAATTTTCGCGAGGTTCGTGAGTGCCTTGTCATTGCTAGAATTTCTCACCGCGAACCGGTTCGTAAAGTCTCTGTGGCTATAAACAACACATCTAAAAAGTCTTGGTTTCGAAAAAAAAATCGTCGCAAACTAGTTAGGCCTTACCACCGGTGAATCGCTCAATGAAGTCACCGTTGGTTTAGAGTAGTGAATTTTCTGTTTTATTTTATTTTTGTACATGTATTAAAACACACTGAGTAAGTATCTGCGTGGCAGGATCTACGACATTTGTTGTACGATGTCCATAAAATCACTTCCGAAAGAAATTTAAAAGTTTTTTTTTAAAAAGATGAAGATAACAAAAAGTGTAAGATTTCAAGTAAAGCTTTAAACTCTAAACGGAATCAGGGCAACTCGCCCCCAAGAGAAGTCGCCCCCAACACTACCTAAGACAACTCGCCCAAAATTTGGGACAACTCGCCCCCACTCAAGACAACTCGCCTCCATTATTATTTTTCTTTTTGTGAATTGCAAGGGAAAACAACTGTTTATCAATAAAATATATTTCATATGCAAATCTTAATTTATAGTCGATATTCACAGTTGTAAAAGCTAGCCTAGGCTTTTATTTATTTATTTATTTTTCATGATTAATTTACATCAAATTTTTCATAAAAACACAGTGTAATGTATCAAAAATTTAACATAGATTCAAGAGGTAAATGTAGGATCTGTTGCAGTTCAGGCACATGATAAACACAAAGAAACTAACATTAAACAGTTGTCACTATGCCTTCAATACAACAGTGCAATGAAATCATCATAGATTTGAAAAGTTAAGCAATTCACGCATTTTAAGATGATGATAATGCAGCCAAATAACACGACTGTGTGAATATCATCTGCAAAGTTGTAAGTCAAGCAGACATAGAAGTAGATGATACGTAAAATAAAAGAGAAAAATAGCTACATATCTAAGGTAACCCCTTTTAACAACCATACGACCTTTGGCTTACGGTGATTATTTTTGTTGATCAATATAGGAATTCTACTTGCCGTTTTTTTTATGTTTTCCAACCTAATACATCATGTCCGTTGTTTAAACATTGATTATACATTTTCTCTAAATTATTTTAAAGGTTTAAATGTTGCTTTGTGAACTTAGAATGTTCTTTGATTCATGAATTTGTAAGTCACCGTCGAACAATTTCAGAACAATATCTTATCTATCTCAGGTGTAACTGTGAGGTATGGTAAGAAGACAAGACTTGTGCACCTTGTTACTCAAATTCACTTTCGTGGCGAAGTAAAAGGTAATAATTAAAATGGTGACTATTGGTAAGTTTTTGATTAGGATGTACAAAATATCTTAAATTTAGAATATTCTTCTTTACATCCTGTTTCGATACAACACAGATTATTGATAACAACGTACGTTGTATCTCATTAAGAAATAACCAAGAATGAAATACATGTAATTGATGCATTTCTTGTAAATGACTATCAATCGGACATTTTATCTCTTTTTTAGATTACCATGAACCCATAGTAAATGTAACTCTTTTTCCACACCAGAATGTGTGAGTAAAATATCCAATATTTTTATTTTTCCTCAAGTAATTAAAAATTAAACCATTTATGAGAGGGACATATATTAAAGTCAATGTTTATTCAAAATTTTATTTGATGCGAAGATTAAGCATTGTTGCTCCAAGTTCAAGTTCAAACTCTGAACTGTGAGGTTTCTGTATCATGCAATTCTCTTCTAGAATAGTATGCTGTGACTAGATATATATTTTAGGTTAATACCACAATTCAAACCTAATCTTTCCCTATCATCTCATGCCTTCCATCATATTCAACCTCTTTGGAAAGCTGGTACATTTTTTTTCTGCAATAGAAATCGTTCGTTGAATGAAGACTCCCGAGAGTAGTAAACTTCACAATAGTTAGGTTCACAGAATAGCTGATTGTTTTATCAGAGTGTAATGTGTCCTAGAGTGTCATAAGTAACTTGATTAAAGTCACATATGGCTAATTTTAACAGGTTCAGACTAACTAAATTTCTAAAATAATCTTTCTATTTGTTTTGTTACTTTATATACATGTAAAGATAGGATTTTCCTGAAAATTACACAATTCAAATCAATCAGATTTCATATATATCAGACATTTAGAAAAATAACCGATTATTTTTTTTACCGATTTGGCATTTAAATGTTAGACACAGTTAAAAGTCAATTTTACATGTATCATAGAAAGATGGGGACATTTAAGTTCAAATTCGATGAAAATTTTAATTTGAACGCAAATAACAAAATTTAATATAAAATTACACTAAATCTCGTATTTTCATTTTTAACTAAGATACGCCATATATAGCTTAAGGACAGATGATACAAAATACAAACAAACGTTCGTCTAAAAATTAGAAAAAAGTCTCTGTTTAAATAGTAAAAAGAACACGTTTCACCATGTAGTTTTTACTTATTTATTCAAATTATCAGAAAAATGGGATTTGAAGTGATAATTATTTGTATAGATTAATAAGGTTGGTTTCGGAAAGGCATAATTTTGAACATCATAGAATGTTTACGATTTCATTATATTCTAGTTATTTATCATTTGCATCATTTTCAAAGAAATTAGGCCAAAAATTGTATACCAACTCAGATATCCATTTATTTGTTTGTATTATGTGTCCTGAAATGTTTTTATTGAAAGTACATTTGAGAGCAGTGACAAATTTGTTGGGGTTTATTTTTTTTTCAAGTTTTTAAGTTTTAAGTTGCTTGTTCCGCTATAAAAATTAATTTATTGCATAATAATGAAACATTAAGATTCATTCAGCAAGAAATAACATGATCAACTTAGGCGAAGCCCTTGGTGAATATTTTTTTTTGCTGAATGTTTCTTAGTATTTCCCTCACGATCATGCAACAATGTATATTGTTTAACCCCAGTATAATTATCTTATGCAACGCTTTATCTGATTAGTGACAGGGCAAAAAACTTTATATTTTCCTGTCGTTGTCATCATTTTTATCATATTCAATCTTTTCAGAGACCTCGTATTTTCAAGCAATACTCATAGTTTTTTGAAGGAAATTCCAGAGAGTGACAAACCTTGAAATTAATATTTCTTCTCTACAGCAATGACTAGATTAACGACATACTTTTAAAGAAGGTTCCTTAAAGAAAAAAAAAGAAATGGGAATTTGAAATGTTTAAGGGACTTCATTTAAGTGTTTCAGTAGATTTACTTTTAAATTGAAAGAGAGTTTTGGAGCAGTGCCGAATTTGATGGTTTGCTTAAACTTATTTTTTTAACAATCTGCTTTTTCTGTATAAGAGCAATATTCAATTACTGCCTTTTTGGTCCTGTGAATTTCTGAAAAACTGAAACTGCTTCGTTTTAATTTACAATGCATTAAATATCACTTTGACTTTTGGTGATTGCTTATCTTGCAAAAATGGCGTAATTTTCTGGCTAGTCTATACATTATGACGTCACGAAATACGTAATTGTCCTCCAATTCTGAAAAATTCTACAAAAAGCGGTCAATTTCAAAGCTATACATAGATATTAGATATAAAGCGTAACCTCTGATCTAAAATATGCAACTATGAAATGATAGACCTGTTACCGAGGATTACAAATCATGTTTGATATTTTTTTTTTAAATCTGAGGGTGCGCTCATACTATTTTTTTTTTCTGAAAGTACTTAAATAAACCTGTTTTCCTTAAAATTCAAGAACATTGCAATTCCTTAAAGCCTGTTTTCCAAGCTCTGGACCTTTAGGAGAATATTTTTAGTAGGAAATTCAAACACAAAGTCTCTACTTTATTTTAATGTTTAAAATGGAAAAAAAATGCTAGTCAATAAATTTGTATATATACATAGGGCTATTTTCTGCAAAAAGTAAACCAAGCTCTTTGAAATAAGATTGCATAAATGTTCGAGAAACACAGATTTTTTTACAGTGAGAAAAATCTTATTTCCGTATGGCGAAGTTCTTTGGCGATATTATAATTTTTTTTGGGGGGGAGGGAGGGGGCCTTACATATTATCGTTATGTTATTTTCACGATCATGCAAGGAATGTATAATAAAAGGGGGATTTTCGTTCAAATTCTATTTAGTGATCTCAAAACTTTTGACACTTATTATCTATTTGTTTTTGTCTTCTAACGTTTTTTTTTTTCTCCAGAATTTCTTTCACGTCAAAACAAAATAAAATCATTTCAATCGTTTACTCTATTATTGATTTTAAAAGATTTGTAGAGTATGTTTGGAGTTACAAATGCAATATATTTTCTTGATTTTTTTCAGTAATCCCTCTTCTCTTAATTACCAGACGTACATGATTCTTAGTTCTGGATTCATTCCACAAAATTCAAATACAGGTATAATTCTTTGCTCAGTTTTCTTTCCACATGAAATTGAATTTCGTCATAATAATTAATTTTAAATCATTTTATAAACATTTTAGGATATTTTGCTGAAAGTGCTTGTGAGTGGAAGAAACCTCCAGTCACCGCCTATAAATTTTATTCACATACTCATCACTATGGTAAAAATCATTTGACATAAAAAAGATAAAATAATGTCTGAATTACATTTAGTTATTGTGGAGATGGGAATTATTGTAACTTTATTTTCAGGATTTATGGCTGAGGGATTCTTGATAAGAAATAATACTTGGCGTTTTATTGGTGGTGAACTAACCAAAAACCGAACGAGGGTAAATGCACGAAAACAGACATTTCATTTTTAATCATACATTTATTACAAGGTGCATAGCACTTTTTGACCAGTCCTGTACACTTCCTACCGAAGTCAAACGGACTTAGCCCCTCTGATTTATCAAGTAATTGATAATCTTAATGAGTTTGTCGTAGTTCAATTCAGTTTGGTGATCATTCTATGATTTTCAGTTTTATTAATACGATTTTTTAAAGGAACTTAAAATTCTCTTTAGATCTAATAATATGCATCCTTCTAACTTAATAGATTCTAAAAGTGTTGGTGAAATATGTAAAATATTTTAAATGTAAACTGCTGATGTGTTTTGCCAGTTTCGTAAAATTATTTTTCCTTCAAGTTAAACATTGAAATGTTGCCATTGTCAATGTGAATTGCCCTCGAGCTTCATAAGACCGCGGGACATTAACTGGCAAGATTGGAAAAATGCAGCTTACGCCATTTCTATCTGTTATAATCAAACCATTACATAATAGACAATGAAATGGGCGGGTACAATTCGACGCGGACGGCCGAGAAAACCTTGGATTGAAATTCGAATTTGAAATTTATTTTCAATCTACCGAGCTGTTTACAAAAGCAAAGTGTAAATGTATGATCTAAAAGACAAATAATTTCAATTCCGAAATACATGTTGCTTGAAATTTATATTGCTACGAGAAAAATAGCCTATATCATAATGTTTAGGATACTGGTAAAAGACATAGAAGATATATAATATTTTTTTTTTTTACAGCAGACGTCCGTTTGATTCTAGAAGGAAGGGGGGGGGGTGAGCTGTCAAAAATTGTCGAGTCAAATCATGCTTTGTACCAACAAATATTTCGGATGACAAGAGCTTTTTTTGTTTTGTCTCCAATGAAAAATGTTTGACATTTTCTTACTTATTTCCAAGATTTAAGCAATTTCCCAACGCATGCAGACATAAATTATACCAAACAGAAATCAAAATATTTATCCCTTCATACGTATTTCTTTAAAATCCTGGACAGAAAATTCTATTTATACATTATTTTTAAACTATACTGAAATTGAAATTATTTGTCTTCCGGGTCAGTTAGTTATAACATGGCTTTTAACTAGCTTAGGTGGATTGAAAATGAATTTCAAACTAGAATTTAAATCCAGTGCTTTCAGTGCCGTCCGTGTCGAATTGTACCCGCCTATTTCATTGTCTATCATGCAATGTTTCGATTGTAACAGATAGAAATGACGTAAGCTGCATATTTCCAATCTTGCAAGTTAATTTTCCGCGGTCTTAATACTCTGAATTGAGGTTATTTGTTTATTTTGCTGGGTTGTTTAATTACTAAATGTGTACTTTCATAGTAATACACACTTTAATACTATAAAACACATTTGTAATTAAACAATTGAGCAAAATAAACGAATATTAAAAATCTGTACAATATCTGTCTTACCTATTTTTTGACAACAAAAGGCTTGAAACAGTAACAATTCATAATTTGATAATTTTAAGGACTGGAGTAGCATACCCGGAGGGCCTCTGGTCATTTACCCTGGAGACATTATTGTAAGTATTTTCTGTTAAAAATAATAGTTTAACGCTGGATTATACCATGTACATGACATCCAGCAACTCAATAACATTCTCTAACCACTCTAACACAGGGGCGAGCTGAATTTCAATCTACTTTGGTTATTTTCCCACGCATAGTGTAAATGATTATTCTATGGAAGACTGGTAAATTTTGGGAAATATACATGTACATACTCTTTCACAGGATGGCAAAAATAGATTTCTAAGTTCAGCGACATTAAATAAAAGGCCTAATGCCATGAATTGAATTGTCGATAACAAAGTGTCTTATTCATTAGTACATTAAGAGATTTGGACTATAAGTTAGCAAAGATAAAAAAGAATATTAACTCATTAGTCCTGAGGCGGCATTCTCATGTTGATTTAAGATACTTGCGAACCGAATTAAATTGTTAAGTCACAAGTTTTTGAAACTACAATACTTTTAGTACTTCACAATATCGTTTTTTTTTTTTTGGTTCATTTATAAAATATACAATCTGTTGGAAAGATTTTTATCACACTGTCGAGATTTGTCTATACTTTGTGCAATTTAAATCTTGCATGTCCTGTGACGAAAGTGGAGTGATATTTTTGTTTTATCGATATCGGTACTAAAGGCATTGTGCTTATGATTATTCTTATTTCGGCGTTTAGTTCGGTTCGCAAGTATTAAAATGAACTCTTGATTGGAGATGGCGAAATTTCCAATTTTCCTAATGGCGCCGGTGTTCTGACGTTTTCCTGGCACGTAAAATATAAAAATCGTAAAACAGCCTGAAAAAGGTCAAATATATCGGACTACTGGTCATCAGATCTCAGAAAAAATTATCTGCCTGCAAAGGTTTAATATGCATAAATAATTAAATTTAATTTTTAGAAAATGTTTTGAATATTCGACTAAAATTTGAAAATTCCTATCGAATAACCGCCTAAGGAAAATGAGTTAGCTTCCCAAGTAATCAGACAAAAAACGAAAGACAAGCATTGATTGTTAAGGAAATTGATTTTCACTAGAAAATTGTAGAAAAATTCTTTTATTTCACTTATAATAATACTTCTGTTTGCTAACAGTTTATTTTCATGTTTAAATATTTAAATTAAAAACACTGCAATATCTCCTCGGCTAAAAAGCAGTCTTGAACAATATATTTCCCTTGAAATTTAAATTTAGCATAAGATGTAAATTGAATTTTTTTGTTGACTCTGTTGTAAATGTGTTTTGAAATATTTTAGGCAGCCAGATGCCTTTATATTAACAAGGAAGATAAGCCAGTACCTTTTGGGTAAGTAACTTATTTATGCTAAACGCACAGTAAGGGTATAGCAGAGTATGATTTCTTCAATAACCAACTTTCTTCCTGGAATCTGTACTGTAGAGAACCTAAAGCGTTCTAGCGGTTACAGAATTAAAGAACCGAAATATTTCACTTCTAGATCTAGAGACAAGCTGGGGATATGAAACTGTTTTTTTTAAATCGTCGTTAGTCATTGCAATTTTCCTCTTTTCCTAACTGTGACAGTAAAAAAAAAATGGCGATTTTTTTACTGCTTAGACTCATATAAGATTGAAAATTTACCAGTCATTTTACAGTAAATGGACTTATTTTCAATGTAATAACTACTTTCTATTATCTATTATATACTATACGATCTAGACAGTGATTCCTTAAATAAACTCCAAAATGCCTGCACTTGAATTCATCTATACTCATCTAAGACTAGAAATTATTATCGGTACGAGATGGTATCGGATCCGTATACAATTTTTAGAATTCATTCACCTATTTTATTTATTATGAATAAAATTGAAAGTGAATTTTCATTTTCGATAAACAGCAGGTGAATGGAAAAGAGTGTGAGAGAGAGTATGATGGAGGTTTCGTTGTTGTATTTAAGTTACTGACTATTTTTAAGTAATATGACAACAAGAGTTCTTTTTACAAGTGCGTGATAACACGTCTTAAAGAATTATTTCATTAAAACTTGTTTTAATAGAATATTTTCCGAAAAAATAACAAAACATGTTTCTTGGATGATAAAGGCCACAGCTTTAATAATTGTTTCAATGACAAATGTCAGACAAGCATTTAACAATCATTGGGTGCCACACACCAAAATCGATAACGGGCGTTATGGCACCTCGCCTTCTAGGGTAATCCATAGCAAGGCGTAACAATATTTATAAATCGACTCCTAGGGTACCCCTTAGCGAGTCAGCTGGGATATGTAATTGCCTCCTAGGGGATTCCTTAGCGAGGCTACTACCTGTTATACCGAACAGGTAAGCCCACTATACCGAGTAGGGCAAAAATAACCACCCGTTATACCGAACGGGGTACGAGGTTACTGTTATACCGAACAGATCCCTCACACAAGCTCCTAGTGCACTCCATAGCAAGCTTGTATTGGCTCCTAGGGTAGCCTTAGCGAGCCACAAAAATCTCTACCAATCACGTAAAATAGATAATCATACATAAACAATAATTAATATAATGATGACAAATGACATTTAAAGCTGCGACAGCAACATATCGTCATTCCTCAGTCCCATTGCCTGTAGATCACAATCTTGCGCACATAAACATAAAACATCCATAGTTAATTGTAACCTGAAAAATACAAATAAACAGCAGAAACAACAGCATCTCAAATTCTTAACATGTTTAAGGTAGCAATCTTTCAACAACTAAGATTTAATTTCTCATTAATGGGAGTGGTGGGTGGGAAACAATTATCAAAGTGCAGAATCGCTGGGAACGCTATAGAACAAGAGGAGGAAAACGCCACGTGCGCCCCTCTTTTATACTCGCGGCAATCGGGGGAACGTGTCAAAAGACCTACCCCCTGTGTTTTCGGAAATCAATTAAATGCGTTTAATGAGCAATTGCTTTAAACGACATTAATAGAATATTTTCCGAAAAAATAACAAAACATGTTTCTTGGATGATAAAGGCCACAGCTTTAATAATTGTTTCAATGACAAATGTCAGACAAGCATTTAACAATCATTGGGTGCCACACACCTAAAGAATTATTTCATTAAAGCTTGTTTTAATAGATATAGTTATGTGAAAACTGATTCAAAATCAAAGAACGCATATCGTTTTCATGAATCTCGTATCTGAGTTTATTGCAATTACCATTATGTTTCATGCAAAAGCGCGTTTAATTGCATTATTCATTGCATATGCATGAAGTAAGCTATAGATTTTAAATGCGTCACAAGATTAATAAGAGGTATTTTCTTATCTGAACGCTTGAACATGTTTCAATCACTCTTCAATTGATACTTAACTTTCGACCCAAGCACTTCCTGTATAACATCTAATAACCAGAAATAAAAGGAAATAGGTTATTGTAAGTAGCGGCAGCTATTCTCAACAAGATCCCAACATTACAAGATCCAGAACTTACGTATCTCGTCTACAAGTACGGGCTGAAAATAAATTCGGTGAAAAATCAGTTGCCTCTGCAACAGAGGTGAGAAAGTTTGTGTATTGAGAAACAAGATGAAACTGAAAAAAAATGTGAGTCTTATAAATGAGTGTATATAAGAAGCAGTAAAACCTGAATCGAGCGTCTTATTGAAAGCAATTCACAGGCAATACTCCATATAGTCTTCTGTAAGCACAGAATAGATCACTCCGGATGGATGCAAATGGACGCATTGCAAACCGTAACCTAATCCAACAAATTAGCAAACTAAGTCAATGAGGCATAGTCGTAATATTTCTACTGTTTCACATTCCGATATTTACTCCTCTGGACTTTGATGAATTATACTGGATTTTGTTAAATAAACGACTTTCATTGACTCTAATCATTGTAGAAAATTCCTTTTCTGCAATTAAAATCAACACATTAGTTACGATATTCTTAGATAAGAATATGTTCTTAAAATTGAACACATGCTATGTTACTGTATTGGCATGCGTTTTGTTTTTTAATTACAATGTTTGGTTTACTATGGATACACTGTTTTAGATTACCTTGATTTCCACACAACAAATATAAGAAATTTCATGCACCCTCTTTTCCTTAATTATTTTTTTCACTCGAAATCCCCTCTCTGCCGTAATTATAAGCTCTGTCCTGTCAGAAGCATGTACATGTACACTGTAAAGTCACATATTTTCTTGGGGTCAAATTTTCGTGTTTTGAGAAACATCTCTTTGTTCAAGGGGATTTGATTTCTTGGATCAAGAATAAATGAGTACTAATGTATGTGACATTTTCATTTCATGTTGGACATGAATTTGTGGGTATCGTCATTCCTCGAAAACATCGAAAATTAAGCCTCTACGAAAATTTTTGATTTCACAGTAATATCTCATTTTAATTATACGTACATGCATATTGAACTTTTGCAAGAAGACTTTAACAATCGACGGCTCACTCTTACACCAGAAAAACATACTGAGTCTCTTTTGCGATAGGATTTTTTAGCGTTTCTGTTGATTAAATGACAATAACGGTTCATTTTTAATTACTACACTGTAAAAGAAAGGAGCTGAAACACATCTACTATTTATTCCTTCCCTTCCATCCTTGACAAACTCCTGCCAAGTTTTCTTCATGGAATGTTTATTTTTCTTTTTCTTAATTTCTTTGAAAATTGAAAGAAATGGAGATGCATTCTCTCAAAATTAATTTTATGTAAATGTATTCGACCTCCAATAATCATTTGTGTTGATTAATAATGTTAGTGCTCTTAATCCATTTATAACTATGACCTTTATTAACGATTTCTTATCCATTATCAATTCTGTACCTCCGTACATAACGCATTTCTCAAAGAAAGTCGCCAACTGCAAAAGTCAGTGCTTCTCGGAAGAGTCCATTACGTGTATAATAACATCAACATTTTTTTTTTTCTCTAGATTTTTTATAAAAATATTTTAATATGACACTTTAATGAACTTAAAATGTTATATCCACTGTTTATTGCAAAAAATTCGTTATCGACTCACTGTACCCCTACTATTAAATTCTTTGCAATCTCGAATAGATAGAGTGATTCAACAAAACAAATGACGAACTGGGAGTCTGTGATAATACAAACTTATTTCTTCAGGGATTTTATTTCTCTCGCCACGGGATGCATTATTTTGTCGCTAAGTGTAAAACCGAGCGGGTACCTCCTAACCTGAATTATTTGGTTAAAAAAAAAGAATTTCACGTAAAGCCTCGCGGAAAGGTGACGTTTAATTCAAGGGAGAATTTACCTCAAGCAGATTTTCGTGCATATTTTATACTAAGACAATATTCTAGACACTGAAAGATCCATTTATTAATCATTTGATTTTTTTCCTTAATATACGTGCATGTACTAATTTTAATTAAAAGCGATGTTGAAAAAAAGAGTTTTTTGTGTGTGAAACGTATCTGTACATTAACTTATAGACTTTTCTTCATTCTAGATTAACAGACCAGCAAGAAATGTGCAACTTTGAGGTCAACTTTGGATATGAATCCCGTTATTCTAAGGAGTTTAAAAGAAGTTTTGCTTGTATGTCAAACACACAAGAGTTTTCTTTTTGTAAAACTAAAGCTCTTCATGGATTTTGTCAATAAATAAAGATTTATCTAGCAAAATTTTATTGATTTTTTTTTCGTCTTGTCAACTGACAGATAACAACAGCTCCAATATTCTATTTCTATTCCTGCATTCCATAATATTTGAGAAAAAGGAATTCATTTGGGTTGATAAAGTCATTTTAGTACGATTGATTGATTGTATATTATTTATCGTCACTATCGAGAATTTGTCATTATTATGGAGAAGCCTCCACTTGCCAGTGGAGAGCTGCTAATTTTTGTCTTAAACTTGACACTCGGGACCTCTGAGCAGGGAGGCATCTTTTTCGTCCCAGAACCTTCTGCGACAGGGGACCTCGTAGTGGGACTCGAACTTCCGATGTAAGGATCATTTTACTTCGCGACCCTAGAGTAGACGCTCTAACCACTGCTCCACGCGGGCGATAGGTAGTACTCTTCTTAGTGTCCATCAGAAAACAGCTGAAACCTTGCATCCGCTAAAATAAATCACGCCAAAATTATTGGCATACCTTTGAGTCGGCAAAACGCCAAATTTTACACCCGCCAAGAAAATCCGCTAAACGGTATTTTGGTACGAAAACACAGAGAGAGTCGTGCATTTTTTGACAATATCTAGCAATGTGTATGAAAACTGTCTATCAAAATACGACATAATGATAGACTATTTTTGGTTACAATTTCATAACAACTAAAGAATTATTTTTGAAGGAGTGGATTGCATGCAATACATGTTAAGAAGATACTAGGACAGATTTTACCATTAACTTTCTTAACATAACTGACTTCCTGGTTTGAAGTATAGAATTTAGGCACGTAGGGGTTGTTCGCCTCATTTATCTTCTTTATCTTTGACTATCTCTTCACTATGTGAAGAAGCGAAAATTATGCACATTGGTTTGTGTATTTTATAGTGTAGGGGTACATGTAGCCCAATAGAAAGAAGACAAATAAATCTCTGTGTTATCATAGGTTATAATACAGAAAACGATTTGTAGGATCAGATTTAATTTTCGAATGGAAAAAAATGTAAATCATGTTTTTTTGTTTAATAAGGAAATTCAATATCTTCCTTTTCATTTTCGAATTTGAAAACCCTTGTAATACATGTATTTCAAATTTTACCAGAATAATAATTCTCAGTGTATCAGACTGCTTTAACAACCGATAAAATTACATGACCATTGCTCATGACAACATTGGTCCTTCATCACGGCCTGAGAAGAGTAACAGGTACGTCGTTACCATTTCGGATTACTTCAACCGATAGATAGAAGCATGTCCAGTCAAAAATCAAGAGACAATAATAATTGCAAAAGTGTTTGTTAATGAATATTTCAAGGTGTGGAATCCTACATGTACAAAAGGTTCATTCTGACAAAGGCAGACAGTTCGAGTCGACGTTGTTTCAAGCCTCGTAAAAAATGTTGCATATAGAGAAAAGGAACAACACAATTCAATCCAAAGAGATCGCTTAGTAGAGGGATTCTACAGAACACTGGAGACATGATAATCAAATATACTTGTCAAAATTTTAAGTCCCCTCTTTAATTATTTCAAAAAGTTCAAAACCTTAAAATCAATTTACTAGTTGCTTACAAATTTGCCTGTAATTAGTCCGTTACCGTTTTTGTTAAAAAGCATGAAGTTCGAGTTCCATATGTTTTTCGATTGTATTTTTAATATTTCTACTTCCATATGTTCTCCATCGTTAATTGATAACGAAAAACAGAAAAAAGGCTTGATTAAAATGCGGTGCATGTCGACACAACATGTGCAAGTGAAGTTGAAATGGCCCAATCTGGTCTTAGTTAACGAGATTTTTGTTTCCTTTCACTGTATGTCTTTATTTTACTTAAAACCTTCATAATTACCACCCGAAACTTCCTAAATGTTTTAAATCAGTTACTTACTTACTTATCCTCTCCGTGCCCCGGAGGACGCATGAGGCCGTTCAACAACGAACGCCACTTACGGAGGTCACTGGCAACAACTTGCACCTCCTTCTAACCCAGATCTTCCCTTCCTCTCTCAACAGAGCCTCGCTAGGTGTTCTTTGGCCGTCCTCTTCGTCTCTTTCCCACAGGCGCCCATGTGAGAGCTGTTGTAACGTGTAAGTTCTCTTCCCTTTGGAGGATGTGGCCTATCCATCTCCATCTTTTTCTTTTGATGGTGCTTGATTGAGGTATGAATCTTGTTCTTTCATATAGTTGTTGGTTATTTATCTTTCCAGGCCAGTGTATTTTGAGGATCCTCCTAAGGCATTTTCGGTGGAAAGTATCAAGCTTTTCGGCTTCGTTTTTTGTTGTTCTCCATAGTTCAGCACAATACAGCAACACAGGTAGAACGTTCGTGTTGAAAATCTTAAGTTTGGTCTTTGCGCTGTATTATGCTGACTTCCATACCTGGGCAAGGAATGCAAAGGCGGTCCTGGCTAAGCCTAGCCTTCTCCCAATATCTGCCTCAGTTCCTCTAGTCTTGTCCATTGTGGCACCCAGGTTGAGAAATGTTTCGACCTCTTCTATTTCTTTATCATTCAACATGATTGCATCCTTCTCCTTCCCATTTATTTTCATGCTTTTTGTTTTTTCGACATTAATTTTTATGCCTGTATAATCCAGGACAGCATGTAATCTCCTGGTCTTCTCTTGCATGTCGCTGTGTTTGCTGGAAATAAGTGCAAGGTCGTCTGCATAGTCCAGGTCTTCTAAAGTGGACATAAATTTCCAACGTATGTCTCTCTTCTTATTGTTGGTATTTCTCATTATCCAGTCTACCACAATGATGAACAGGAACCCAGACATAGCATAACCTTGTTTCACTCCTGTCTGTACTTTGAACCAGTCTGTTGTTTTCCATTCTCTATGACACAACTAGTGCTTCCATCGTATATTTTTTTGATGATATCCACGCACGCGCCCGGAATTCCATACTGCCTTAGTATGGTCCACAGTTTCTCTCTAATTATGCTGTCAAAGGCTTTTAAAAAATCTATTAAACTTTTGTACAGTCACTGTAATGCTTGCCACTGTATAGATTGTTCTAAAATATTTCTTAGAAAATGTAAATCTGTTCTGATGTTCCTCTTCCTCTTCTATATGCAGCCTGATCTGGTCTCAGTCTGTCCTCTAATCCATCTCTAATTCTACCAATCACTATTCTGCAAAATACTTTTGATGGCACTGATAGTAGTGATATTTCTCTATAGTTGTCACATATTGTTAGATCTCCCTTCTTAGGTATTTTGACAATGAGCGATCTCTTCTAGTCTGTTGGTATTTCTTGCTCACTGATGATTCTGTTGAACAACTATGTTAGCTCTGCTGTTGAATATGATACGCTCTCCTTTAATAGCTCCGCATTGATGTTATCTATGCCAGGACTCTTTCCCCTCTTCACTTTTTGGATTGCTTTTTCAACCTCCTCCTCTCTAATTGGTGTTGTGTCAATTTCTTTAATTTCATTCTCGTGGATGATGCATCCTTCGCGTAAATCCATTGTTTCTGTTGGGACGTTTGGGACCTCTCCAAAATGCTCTTTCCATCTCTCCAATATTTTTCCATCCTCAAAGATTAGATCACCATTCTTGGACCTTATGCCACTTGTCCTGTTTCTTCTTCTCCCACAAAGCTGCTTGGTCAGTTGGTAAACTTTATTCAAACGGTTTGTATTTGCTGCATTCTCTGCTTGGTTAGCTACATCTTCCAAATTTTTCCTTTTATCACCTCTTGCGCTTCTTTTCACTGCTTTGTCTTTGGTCTTATATTCTTCTCTCTTAATTTCCTTTACTCTCTCCAAATTTGATCTTCTATTTCTTCCTTTAGTTTTCTCCTTATATCTATGGCTCTGTAAGTTTCTGCAGTTAGCCAGTCTTTGTGCTTCCTTTTTTTCTGGCCCAGGATCTTTTCTGTCTGTTGTTTCATTATAAGATTCTTTTACAAGAGTCCATTTTTCATTAATTGTGTTTTCGTCATCGACCAGTTGCTGAAACCTATTCCTTGGTTCAATTTGGAATCCTTTGCTTATTTTTGGATCTTTCAATTTGTTGACACCATACATCTTCCTGTTGCTTTCCTTTGGTTTTAGGTTTCTGCAGAGCTTCATCTTTACTTTAGCCAGTACTAGATGGTGAACTGAATTGACATCTGCACCACGCAGAACTTTTACATCACATACAGACTTCTTGTATCTGCCGTTCACCATTACGTGGTCAATTTGATTCCTATCTCTTCCATTAGGTGACTCCCATGTATGTTGAGGTGCTTAAAGAGTGTTCCACAGATGATTAAGTTACTAAGAGCGCACATTTCTGCGAACCTCATGCCGTTTTCATTCATAGTCTCAATGCCCTTTTGTCCCATGACTCTTTTTCATCCATCATTCGACTTTCCCACTTTTGCATTTGCATCACCTATTACCATCAGTATGTCATGTTTTGCCACTTTTGCAATCTCTCTTTGAAGGTGTTCATAGAAGGTGTCTTTATCCGATTCGTCTGCATTGTCTCCTTATTGTGATTTGTATTTATTATGTATATACATTGTATATGTGTTATCCGAGGAAGCTAGTGCTTGCACTAATCGGGTTACCTGCTATAAATAAAGTATTATTATTATTATTATTATTATTATCGTTTGTTGGGCTGCATAATTGTATTATTGTTAGCTTAGCAAAGCGGGAGAAAAAGCGTGCGCTGATGATTCTGTCATTAACAGGATTACATTTGCTCAAGCTTTTTCGGCTTTTCCTGTTAAGTATAAGTCCTACTTCTCTATGATGCTCTTCAGCTTAGGAGTACAAGATAGTCTCTCCGGAGGTTGTCTTAAGTTCACCAAAACCTGTTCATCTCACTTCGCTCAGTCCCATTATTTCCAACTTATATCTGTTAAATTCTCTGACAATTTTCGCCGTTTTTTCAATCTGGAACATTGTTCTTAATTTCAACATCTGATCTTGGTGTTGTTTTTAGGTCTTGTTATGGATGGCATCTACGTTCCTTTCAGGCCGTTAGGGTCCTCTCGGCTTTTCCTAATTGCCGTCATTCTCTCGAATTCCCAATGAAGGTAATCCTCATCCGGAATCTCGAATGTCGCGTTTGCCCTTCCTTCAGTGGTACAAATTGTTGTAACGGTTTCCGTAATCAGTTGTTTTTATGGAAGGAGGTGATTAACCTAAAGTCTAATCCCCAATTTTATGTCGGGGGGGGGGGCGAACATAGTAGTTGTTAGCGGTCTCCTACTAATTATTATTAAAGAATTTTTGAACTGTAAAACCATCTACGAGTCGTATTCTCCGGAAAAGAAGGAAAAAACACGATTCATTATCCAAAACATAAAACAAATTACGTTTAGATATGTTGGGGATTCTTTTGTTATGACGTTTAATGTCATTATTGGAAATAATATCACCTAGACATTATATATTTAGTTAGAGGCTTGTGAATTGAAATCAAAACTAAGCAGGAAATATAAAAAATATAATTTATTTTCACTTTAATACAAGTACTTTAAGGTAAACCTAAAAGTAGATGCGTAAATCTAGATCTCTTGTGCAAATACTGACTGTAAATTGTGTATCTCAATTACAGGTAGAAAATCATTCAAAGTATATCAAAGCCTTCATTATTTCGACCAAATAAATTGAAAATGATTTTCAGGCATTTGCATATCCCAGTAATTAAAGGTTTCCGTCGTTTGACCATATATTACAGTGGAAGCTGACTCATATCTCTGTTAGGTACATGAAAATAATATCACTATTTTAAAATCATAGTAAAACTAATCATTGTTTCTCTGGCTATATTTATGTGATCTTGAATACATTGTCCAATTATTCTGTACGTTCCTTTGGTATCTTCAGACATGACATTTTGTGCAACAGAAAAGTAACCTGATAATAGGGCTATCTTATATTTTTAACTTACTGTAGATTTACTTTTTCCGCGTGTGATTAATTTTCTCTATGTATGCCTTTCAACTGCCGCTAGTGGTCGGTTTTATGACGATAACTCACTGCTGAAACATGTTGAGAGCAGACTCGGGATATCTAATTGTTTACCATCGTCGGAAACCCACGGTCGGTCTCGCTTCTCTTACCTCCCGTGGGACACTAGGCCGAAAATTTCGCTTGGAGGTGTGTCTCAATAACGCATTTTCATTGGTCGCAATACGAAACTGTATTGCGATGTGTAGCTTTAATTACCCAATCAAAATCATTGTTGCAACCCGTATGTCGGGAAGGATTTGCAAACAATATGGAGACGTTCGAGGCGAAAGTGAAAGAAGTTTTTCAAATAAACGATCTAAAAGACTTTCAAAGAGAGTCTTTGGCAGCGCTGTTGAAGAAAAGAGACGTTTTTCTGTCTATCAAAACCGGAGGTGGGAAAAGTATTTGCTACCAGGGCTTTCACACGGCATATAACGCTAGTTTTGACGACAACAATCCGATCTCAGTTTTGGTCGTCACACCTCACCTTTCCATTATGCATGAACAGTGCAATTCATTGAATAGTTTAGGATTTCTTTCAGCATTTATTGGTAAGCAGACCTCTCCTGTATGACCTATTTATCTACATAAACTATATATGCAGTGTAGATGATGAAACTCTTTTTATGATAACATGTAAAAAAGATATATTAAAGAAAAGGAATTTTTCAATCAATTAAAAGTAAAATAATTTCTCGTCATTAGATGATAAACAAAAACTGTTTTTGGTTACTCAATACTGATTTTCATATGACAGGAAACATGTCAACGTTGTTTTTTTTTCTGACATTTTTAATTATTAAAATTAAATAATATCAAAACAAACATTTTCCAATGTAATGTATTAGTATATTATTAATTTAACTATTCCTTCGTGATAAAGGTGGTGAAAGCGACGATTCCATATTAAGAAATGAAATGCAATTCATTTTCACCTCACCTGAAAGTGTGCTAAATGGAAAGTGGAGAGATTGGGTGACAAACAATTCAACCATTAGATTAATAGCTGTAGATGAAGCCCACACAGTGTTACATTGGTAATTTTTTTTTTCTGAAGGGGGAAAATGATGCAATGATTGTTACAATCTATCAAAATTTGAGCAATTCAAACAGGGTTTTAATTATTCCTCTCATTTTTAGGGGAGAGTCTGCGAGCGAGGAAGACCCTTTCAGACGTTGGTATGGTCGATTAGGGGAATTGCGAAGCCTTGTGGAATGTCCTGTAATTTTGATGACTGCCACAGCAAATTCAGCTGCCAGGAAAGCCTTACAGAGAAAATTTTGTATGACAGACTGTTTAGAAATTATAGAGAACCCAGACAGGAACAATATTAAATTATTTTTACAGTGTGTAAAATACAACACTCCACTAGAGAATACATTCTTCTTTCTAATTCTGATGTTAAAAGAAAAAAGAGAGCTCTGTGACAGGTATCTGATTTTTGCCCTTCTATCAGAACTTGTAGTAAATTGTACACTATGTTTAGAATTATGTTTAAAGAAAATGTTAAATTGATTGATCATATTGAAATGTATCATTCAAAAAAAACAGATGATATTAAACAATTAGTAAAAGAGGATAGGTAAGAGAAGCGAGACCGACCGTGGGTTTCCGACGATGATTGTTTACACGCAAGGCAGTTTTTAGCATTTCCCAAGTGGTTATTTGCTCTCAGTAGAATCCAGTGGTTTTAAAATTTAGCACCAATGTTAAACATATTTACTGTATAGTTGCGGACACCTTTTCGCTACATATAATTAAAAGTTTTAATTAAAATAAAAAGTGAAATCTACCCTCCTTCTTAGTTCTAATCTACTTAATTTTTTATACTCGGTCGTTCCCCTTCGTGCTTAGTAAAATAAGTAAGATGATCAATTACTGCATTTACTTGTAAAAATATATATATTTTATATAGGAAGCGAAAAAGCGTGCACACAAAAAACATGACATTAAATTTCCTTCTTCATAATAATCGTCAAAGAGAGTTAAAAATATTGAATATAGTCTGTTACCCATTCATTTGACTCTGTTATTTCAGGTAGAGTGAAGGCATTCTCTTTTTCATGGTCAACACTTTTGTGTACGAAACAATGTAAGGAACCCTTTTGTGTACATAACAATACCAATTCTGAAGCAGCCTATATGTCATTCCTATAAACGATAACTCATAAATCGGCACTAAGTTGGTCATTTTTCACACCTGAGTTGCCTATCCTTAAAACACAATATCGGAAAAGTCAGTTATAAATTATTAAACTTTTTAATGATGTAATTAAATGTACGCATAAGTTATTATCTTTTTTGATAATTTCATGTACCTATGAATCTATATATGCAATGTTTTTACCATACGCGCAACTTGAAAAATTAGTTTAAGGCCTACTCTATGTATGCAAACACAGTTTTTTCAAAGAAATTTGGCACAGCGTACTTAAGATTCATTAAGGACATATAATGACAATGCAAGATATCCGCGTAATCTCATACTCGCAGATTGAATAGAAATTTTGTATGACCCCGTGGAAAAACATGTAAGTACTTTTACAGAATATAAAATTCCGTTTATTACATATACAATCGTCATGTATACCGCCATTGCCTGCAAATCGGAATTTTTGTTTACTTAAAGCTCTACTGACATCATAAAATAGCCGAGAGTGTAAACAAATAGCCGCCATATTTCATCGATAGACGCCATATTAGTTCGTGTTCTATTGTTACTTTCTAGCTATGTATACACCCAAATCATTGTCACGCGCCAATGCATTTGTCCAGTGACCAAGTACACCGTGTACCTCGAAGTGCCGCTGACTGTAAATAGCGGTAACAAACCTATCACGAATTTTGCAATAAGTAAAGTTGCAAAAAGACCAGAACACATCATTATAGCATCCAATATAAGAGAGTTGCAGTAAATATATACACAAAACACACAAGCACAACAAATAAGAGTGCTCACTTCCGAACGTGACCGACACCGCATGGTCATGCATGCAAACTCTAGGTCAATGAAACGTTTGTTTACAGTCAAGCGTTTCAAAGCATTGATCGGGGAGCAATAATTATTTGTAAAATGAAAGAAGAAATCCAATATTTGCATGAAAAACGTACTTGCAAATAAACTTCACAAGGAAACGAGGTAGAATTCCCCATATTTAAAAAAGCATTCCTGGATTGCATATGAACAGTTAAAACATAAAGGGGTTAGGCCTGTAGACCTGAAAAGGGGGGGGGGGGTATTTAGGGGTTTACATTCTCATTGATGGCTAAAAATGCAGCCATTTAAATGATTTTACAAAGGTTTAATATTTTTTCAATTAATAATTTTGATACTATAACTATTCCTTTCTTTATTTCAACTCTGGAATTTACAGGTGTGCTAAGAACCAAAAACAAATGATAACATTTCTTAATTTTTTATCACACATATGCCTCATTCATAGAAGTTATGACTGTTTAGGAAGAATTACCATTTTGAAAGGAAAAGTAATTATTTGCACATATTCAGTAGGTAGTTTGGAAAATTATATGTGCAATTAACCCTGCTCCTAAAGATCTTTGATGAGTCAAGTCTTCATAGGAATTTTTCCTGAATGTTAGAATATAGTTTTATTCCAGTAATTAAAAAAACAACTTAATGAATAAAATGTATTTTATTCATTCTTTTCTTTTCTCTCTATCTTTTTTACAGAAGTAGAAAAGTATCAAAGAATCAAACAATGTGTCTTGTTTGGCGATGAAAAATATTCTCAGCCATAAATGATGCTCACAATGTTTCAAAGCAATTTTTTTTATCGATACATAAACAATTCCATGTAAATTGTAAATAGATTATTATTAAAGTGTTAGGTACATGTAACTAACAAAAATTGAAAATTGTCCACTAAAATTAACTAAATTGTGATACTGTCGGTTCATAAAAATTATTCACAATTCAATTCCAAAAGTTGAAAACAGAAACAAAATAAAATTTTCATGCACATTTGTTTACAAATTGATTTCATATACATATACATGTATAAATAATTCCAAGCCATTGAAAACATAAGATTTTTCATATGTTACCAAAATTTAAACAAGGAATACATATATACATATATATTTCAATGGTGTTGACAAATTGAAAGTTATTAAAAATGTAATATATTAATGAAAATAAAAGTACTATATATAAATTTTAAAAGTAAAAAGATCCTATGAGAAATAAAGCACATGCATTATGAAATTTAACATTTAATTGTACTTTCCCTGTGAAAAAAGGCAAATGTTAAACCTGCCATGCAAGAGAAGAGGTTGTACATGTACCAATTGCAAAAAATCCTTGCTGTCCATTCAAATAAAACACAAGTACGCAGGAAGTATAATGGATTATTATCCTATACATAAAATGTGATTTTGTTTTGTGGCAGCATGGTCTTCTTGAAACAGGAAGGAGAGTTCCAGTGCCTTCTTGTGTGAAAGTGGCAGTTAGAAAGAGGTTTCCCTAAACTAGATGGAGCATATAGACGCTATCTATCATTCAACTAATTCTGACTCAAAAAAAAAAACATTAGTTTTTTTAAACTTACCACACTTTTTTCTTTTTTTCATTTCTGAAAGTAAAAGCCTTGATCCAGGATTTAGGAGGCCTGATAAATTGGTAGAGATGCTGTCATGGTCTTTGGAATTCTTACTCCTTGTATTACATGCACAAGGACTCCAATATATACAAGTGATCAGTAAAATTGAATGTTAAGCAAATGATATAAATTTACACAGCACCTCTTGCTGGACACCTATTTCTATCCGAACACCTTCCCAAGCAGAAATAACATGTGGGGAAACTCATGCGGGGATGGAATGTGTTAGTAGGGTTGTAAGCAGTTTTAGTTTGCAGATTAGTAGCCCTATAGCGTCTCGGGGCACGATATCTCTGTTGCTGAAATTGTGGTGTATATTGTTTATTGTACCGAGGACGCTGCTGTTGCATTGTGTAATATTGCGGTCTTGGTGGTGGCAATATAGGCACGAATTGTTGTTGTTGTGCATAATAGGGTGGGGAGTAACCTTGCTGTGGGAACCCTTGACCAACAGCATTGATTTCGGGTTTCAAAATTTCCTCTTTTATGTTTCTTATTTCCGATAATAAATTTTCATAAGTTTCTAAAGCACTTATTTGCGATGGTTGGGATTTCTCTGCTAATAAAGCGATTTGTCTTAATCTCTCCATTGTCTTGGGGTTTTGAGTAACAACAAAAATTTAAAGATCGTTTCTTAACCCATTCATAGCGACTGATAACAAAACATTTTCCGGCACATTTTTGATTGACGCTGTTTTGACTATTCTCGTCAAATAGTCGCTTACCGACTCTGTTACATTTTGTTTCATTTGCAAAACAGATAAATCCAAAAAATTGTCAAGTTCTTGAAACCGTTCTTGAAACAAATTTTGAATTGTACTAGGATTTGATTTTTGTTGCACGGGTAAGGCATCATACCAAACCTTCGCGTGTCCCTCCAAATAAAAAGGAAACGCATCTACAATCTTGTTATCTGGCAAATCATGAAACTTTGCCCATTGAAAAAAATTAGTCAACCATGCAATCACATTTTGAGTACCATCCCCTTTAAATTTTTCTAACTTAATGGTGGAAGACATTTTTAAAAACTTTTGTGTCCTACCTGACTTCGTCCTATCCGAATAAACCTTAAATCTGTTTTCGTCCAAACTTTGTTCGTTGCCAGGATGTCCTAAAATATTATAAAAAGAATGTCTTTGTTCGTCGAACGAGAAATCGGCAGTGGGATCCTGAAGCAGGGGGTCCGGCACAAAACTATTGTCGTTATCGGAAATATCCAAGTGTTCGTTTCCCTGGCCACTAACGGATGGGGTGGTAGTAGTCGGGAAAGTTCGGTTAGCCCGAGAGGTTTTTGGTCTTTTAGGCGGGTGCACTGGACTTGCGATAGGCTGCTGAACTGGACTTGTAATGGGCTGCTGCACTGAATTTGTAGTAGGCTGCTGTACTGGACTTGTAATGGGCTGCGGCACTGAATTTGTAGTAGGCTGCTGTACTGGACTTGGAATTCTCACCAAGTTATCAAAATTTGTGAGTCCTAGTTTATTTACTTGTATTGGTTCTTCCCAGGGAGTGTCTGGTCTCTTAGCCTCGTCGTTGGTTTGACGGCTCTGGTCCTCGTCTGGTCTCTGGTCTTTGTTTCGTCTTTGGTCCTCGTTTCGTCTCTCGTCCCAAATACCAGTTGGATCGCTGGGTAATCCTTCACTGGGGGGCGACGTAGAGAAGTTACGGTTAACGTCTGGAATTATCCCAAAGTTATTAAAGGAATTGTCGCTATGTAACTGCGGCGGTGATATGTCACCAATGTCGAGAATATAAAACTCGTCTTCTAAACTTAAATCAGTTTCCAAATCCTTGAGATCTCGATCTTCCCCTTTAAGTGTAGACCCGTCGGGATGTGTTTTAGATATTGATCCGGGAGAAATTAGACTAGGATGATACGTATCCGGGTTAAACAGTATTTCCCTGTCATCTAAATCCGGTTGCACAAATTTCTTCCGGGGAAACAAAGGCACTCGCGAAACTGCCCGCCTCAAACGCTGCAATGGTGTTTCAGTCTTTGGTGCTGGCAAATTTTCCATATATTTGTATAAGAAATCGGATTCTCTACCACTTATTATAACCAGGTCAACCCCATCCTGGACTCCGGCCTATATGAAGCTTTTTTGCTAAACCTCAACCAACAAAGTTTGAGGAGGCAGAGTCCCGAATGACGTTGGGCCGATTATAAGTTTGTTCATTTACACCCGGGATCTTGGCTATTTCTGTGAGAGGAGACGCCAAGTGAAATACTTCAATTAATCCTTGAGCTGGGACGGACCGACTCAATTCAGTTTTTTTTTCTGTATTTTGTATTTTATTTTATTTTATCTTCAATATCCCGTTCCTTTCTACCAGAGGACCTTTCTGGACCAGAGCGGCTCACAACCTGTATAAAATGAAACAGAGACAGACACAATCCAGCTCTTGTCTTTTATTAAATAAAAATCCGATTACATGACATAAATAATTTTACACACAATACTAAAACTTATAATAAAGATTACTGTGTTACAATAAAACTATCTTAATATGTAAATAACTCTAGTAGATAATTAAAAGTAAACCATCTGAAAACTTAATAACTTTACAAAAACGCGCAAGTCTACAAAATAATCTTACCTGTATAAAATGAAACAGAGACAGACACAATCCAGCTCTTGTCTGGCGTATGTCCGTCATCCGCTCATTTTATACCAGATTAACCGTCCAGGTTTCAAAGCTCAATTCCCAGTAGTCATCGTCTTTAATTAATCCTAACCAAATCCCTCTTTTCACCAACAAATTTATAACTACTTTCCCAATGATTTATTCCTTGGACTTATCTGAGTAAAAAGTTAAACTTATAGTGGTCAGCATTTTTAATTACTTTTAACCAAATACATCTTCCTAAACAAGAAAGACACATTTGCATTCCCATGATATATTTCGTGGGACCGTCCGTGATAAAATCTTAATTTCTATTGGTAAGCATCTGTAATTACTTCCAACCACATACTTGTGGATCTTTAGATACACAAGTAAATTTTATTGATTCTAATGATTTATTTTTAACTTCAGATCTCGCATCTGCTATCTCTTTAAGCCAAATAGTGCAAACTCATAAAATATGTTTCATTTTTATATTTACTGCAATTTTTGTTATGATACATATACAAGTATATATATATATATATATATATATATATATATATATATATATATATATATATATATATATATATATATATATACACAGTACAGGCCACGAGTTTTCCGCATCGCTCGGTGGAAAAAACACCGTGTGAAACGCTCTGTGTTACACCGTGTTTACACCGTGTACACGGTGTAGCACGGTGTGTGTTGATTTGAAATATACAGGTAGGCACACCGTGCCGCACCGTGTCTAGAAAAATCTCAGGTAATGTCCTCCGTGTCGCACCGTGTCCAGTAAATTTCCCTCCGTGTTACACCGAGTGTCCAGAAAATTTTCCTCCAAGCTGCACCGTGTAAATAGTACTACAAACAAAATCGTTTGTTTCTGATAAAAATTTAATAAATTTTGATGACTATTTATAACTTTGGTTTATGTATATATAATAATCGTTTTTATTCAGCCAGGTATTGGACTCTGAATGGCACGCATGGTATTGAGATTAGATATCGGTAAACAAAAAAAAAATTAAATGATTTTCATTTGAATTAACTGTGTGTCTAGAAATTTTTATTAAATGAAATTATTCATTCACGTTACAAAATCAAAATTATGAATTTTATTTGAAATGAATAATTTAATCTCATTAATTCATGTAACAAAGGAAGACGAAATGGCGTCGAGCTGCATTCGTGTCACACATTCTGTAGTATTGTATTAAATCCGAGCTGTATTTATGTTCATGGTTTTAACATGTACAGCACTTGTGTACGATCCAAGCATTATTATGTATATTCCTTATTAAAATACATGTATTTTTTTTTCATCTTGAATTATTCTGAATGTGGATGCGAAAATCGTCAGCAGAAACACGAAATTAATGCAATAATTTCAAAGCGTATTTCTCGTAACAGCAAATATTATTTTCATAGTGTAGTGTTCACTACCACGTTATGTTTTTAAAATCCTTTCAGTGTAAGTTATTATTTAAAAAAGATTTTCTTTATTCAAATAAGTTTTTCTTTTCTTGTAAAGTGTATAAAAAGCAGTACCAGAGAGAGAGAGAGAGAGAGAGAGAGAGAGAGAGAGAGAGAGAGTGAGTGAGAGAGAGAGTGAGACTCATACAACCCCCTTCTAAAATAGTCTGTATTTTTTTTTTTGGATCCTTCGTTTTATTTAAGTAACGGAGGTTATATACAATTCATCATTCTATAATTCTATTTATAATTGACACAACTTTTTTTTCATATCAAACCCATTTAGGGCCTACTGCAATCAAATTCGTTCTCTGTATATGCTGTACGCACAAAATCCTCGTGCATCACCTGTCCCATGACGCTAGGTGACCTTGAAAGTCTGTTTACGCGGAAAGAATTTCACTTGTGATTTGAAACGATCTTATGGTCAGTTCCGAGTTCACACCTGTTTAAAAAATATATTGGGTCTCTGCCGGTGAGCCAGGGGCGCCGTATGTTTATCACACCTTTCAAATTCTTTCGCTCTGACCACAGGAAGTGTATAACACACTCAACCGATATCATGTGAAATTCATTTTCCAGGTTTCAGTACAACAACGATTATAAACTTACATGTACTTTGTTAATTTATTTATCCTATTTCAGACACAAATAAGCATGTATCTCGTAGATTAAAATTTTAAAAAACATAACATAAATTTGCAGACTTCTGATAAAGTTTTAACCAGCCGCTTTCTAGAAAGGGGGGAGGGGGGGACCATTTTTAAAAGTCGCTATATGTTTTCTCAAACTGATTTTTTTTCGTTTCATTTTTCAAACTATATACTCGTATTTCAGAATGAAGTAATATTCGTACCGAAGTTAGTACATTTCATTTGCCAAAAATTCGGCTGGTGTATTCTGTATTCAGCGTATAAGTTAATAACTATTTTAATTATAGAAATTTATCAGATTATCATCTCTGCCTGTTCAGTAGATTTTCGAGTTTACCCCATTTAATATTTATCTCCATATTTTACATAATTACAGATTTTCAGTGTTAGTCACGGCAATAATCCTTATCTAAACCTGTCCAATGATTCGCCGCGTATCGGTACCGGTATTAAATAGTAGCCTGAAATAATGTGCGAGTCTGATACGTATTTTTTTTTAATTATTCTAAACAAAGTACATATATAATTATTATTTTTTTTTTAAATTCTTACAAAATACTAATTCACTTAGTATAATCACGCATCTGATATGTACTTTGTATGAATGCTTACGTAGGTAAAAACGATCTTGTATCAACAATTTAATTGAACACGGTTAAAATCAAAATCGAAAGAAGAGACAATCAAGTAATTCATTTATGAAAGTGTGTTTCCTCTTAGTGAAATATAATAATAATAATAATAGTCTATTGAACTTTTTATGACTAATATAACTAGGATTTAACTTAAAACGTGATTATACATTTTTTTTGCTTGACACGAGTACGTTGTTATTAAATTTAAGGCATCTTATAAGTTTAAACATCTGTATGCGATAAATAACCAATATTAATTTATGGAAAAGTACAACAAATATTTCAAAAGAAAGTTGATTTAATTTTATTAATTAAGGGCAAGGAAAATGTTTAAAATATTTATCATCAGAACTGTGACACACCGTGTTACACGGTGGACAGAAACGCTGACTTCAAAGACGCTGACAAGGTTCGAGGTCCACGCTAAAGCGTGGACTTGCAGTCCACGGGGCCCCGTGTTTTTTGCGGAAAACTCGTGGCATATATATATATATATATATATATATATATATATATATATATATATATATATATATATATATATATATATATATATATATATATATATATATATATATATATATATATATATATATATATATATATATATATATATATATATATATATATATGTAAAATTGAGGGGGAAGGTGTTACTTTGCAAACTGACCTGGGTGAATCCCGATTGACAAATGCATGTACTTTTCCAACATGTTTGCCAATTTACCTTCTTTACTAGTTTAATTAAATAACTTTTTTGTAACCTCATAAAGTAACAAGGCAGTGGTACATGTACAAGGTTTACCGTGCTCTTTGATTTTCACAAGGTGTTTATGATAGAATCTTATGTTTTTCATATTCTCAAGCTATTTTGCGGTGTTAATGAGAAACTTAAGCTTGTATCATTTTTTGAATGTATTTAAACGGATTTAAGGACTTTCCAGCTGACAACAAAAACTTATGCTCTACCATCATTTTATCAAGTACAACATAATGTCTGCATTTCATATCTTGAATTTTAAGAAACAAAATATTCCACTTTTTGATTTGCGATATTTTGTTTTTTCTTTCCGACATTTTTGAAATATCTCTTTTCATGCAAATCAGAATCTTTTAACCTTAAATCATTGAGATCCAAATAAGCTTCATGTTTTGCTTTGCTTTTAAGAAACCAATGTTAAGTTTGAGATCAGTATTCATTGTGTAGGACATAATATCTACATGTATTAGGTGTAGTCTCTGACATCATATCATTCAAGCGTAGTTGATCTTTTAGACTAATCATTCAAGGATATGGTAGACATAAAATGCATATTTAATCAAATTTGTATATTCAATATTATTGTATATTAAAGTATGTTGTAATTTTGGAAATGCACTCTGAAATGGGTGGAATATTTACATGTATATCTGCTAGGAATTCTGTTTCCACCAAGGTAACAGTAGAATGCCAGAAAGTAACCCGAACCATATTTGATGCGACAGTATTTGTTATACAAAGGAGGACAATTATATATTACCGGTAAATGGAAAATGTAACCCATGATAATATAATGTGCGGAATATTTTGACTGTTTGTCCGAAAATAAAAAAAGAAAAGATTGTCAGTGGTGTGTCTTGCTTAATATGCTCTCAAAAATGTTCAAATGACCTAACCATAAAATGTTTGACGTCACGTGTGGAAATTGATAAAAAGTCAAAAACACGTGTAAATTGAAGATTACAGTTTTGTCGATACATTTTGTAGTACTACTTGATGCAATTATGGTATAGACATCATGTTTGCATATTTGTAGTCCGAATAGATATCTTGAAATCACGATACAGCTGACGAAAATTTGATTGGGTCTTATTTATTAAGAGGTATAAAAGGTTTTGTTGTTAAAATGTAGGTACTCCAGGTAACAGAAATTGGCAGTATTTAGGTTCTGCTATGAGAT